ATAGTGCACTACAATCAATGCCAAGTGAGTAAATTTACTTTTAATGTTACTTTTAAGGTAAATTTATATGAATTTTTATTATTAAAGGTACATTTAGAGATAATGGGACTGAACTAATTGTCATACCAGTTGCAATCAATAGAAGTTCTATTAAAGTTGTTGGCACCTGGGATTTATTTACCATTGAATGGGAAGAAACGACTAATGTTAATTATGGTGCGGTTTTCTACGAAATCAAAGTTGATACAGCTTCCAGGAATGATTCAACGGTACAAAACTATATTAATTAATTACTCAATCATTAACACATTAATATTATGTTTGTTTTTATAGAAGAAAACGACAATTCCACAAATACAATACTGGCACTCAATTCCTCCCTTTACAAAGTTACATATCTCAGTCAAGGCGTTTACCTATTGGGGAGCATCAATCTACACGAAAATAAAACTTCATTCGCCACCTTCAGTACCAGAGGCACCGTGTAATCCACGTGCTTTTGTTACACATGATCAGCATTCATCAAATTCCAGTCAGTTGAAAGTAACTTATCGTTGGGACGCACCGAAAGTAACCAACGGAATATTAAGAGGGTACCACATTATTTGGTGGTTCTCTGAAGAAGATAATGGTAATTTTGCAACAGTTATTGCCGGAAATCTCACTGTTGAAGCTACAGTCAAAGAACTGGTGGTTGAGAATCTGTTACCAAACAATTACACGTTTAAAGTATCTGCATTTACTGAAATCGGTGAAGGAGCCTTTTCTGAAAGCATTGTGGTGGATACCATGATAGAGAAACACATTCCAAAGATATTAGTAGCTGCTGCAAATACAATTTACCTGAAAGACATGGATACATTTACAAATATTACATTGATCCAAGGAGGTAGATCGCCAATACAAATTGGTTATTTGTACGCAGAGCAGAAAATCTTTTGGATTAATGATGTCAATGAATTGGCAATGTTGAATTTCTCACGAATGGTTGAAATCACTGGGAATTTAGTGCATTTGACTGTGGATTGGTTAGAAAGAAGTGTTTATTATTTGGTTTATAACAAAGGATTCAGTACGGTTTTTAAACTGGATCTGAATTTATACGAACGAGGAATTGTAAAAAACATGAAAATAGTAGAATTGCAAGAGGTAATCACAAAAATTGAAGTCTCACCGTTTGAAAAGGCTTTATACTGGTTAGAATGGAACAAAATCAAACAAGAAGGACAAATTTACAAAGCAAGTGTCAGTGGAAAGCATTTAATCAAAATGATAGACACCAGAAGTCGTTGTGATTGTCCTAAAGTCACCGGACGGACATTTTCTCTTGATCGTTCGTTAAAATACGATACACAATTGATATATTTGTCTTCAAATCGTATAATTTCAACTAATGATGGCTGCAAATGCAAAGTGTTAACAGACCATGTCACATCCAACATTACTTCTATTTCTGCTGATTCAAGTAACGTGTTTTGGTCTGATAAAAAACTCCATATGCTAAATTTAAACCAAAAGCGAAATAATATCTACGTGGAGAATACATTGGTGAATGATGTGATGATCTACGGAGCAAACAATCAACCATATCCACAAATGGAGTGCCTTAAACCTTCGAATACAGCTGACATGAAAGTGTCAATGGTCAAACGCACATCGAATACGTTAACTCTCAAGATGCCTGAATACCAATCACCTTGTAACACTACAATGGCGACTGTAAAGTATATTATCTACTATGCAAAGTATAACATGATGACGGGCCCTCCCAGCTGTGACGAGACATGTATTCAAAAGACAACCTTTGACACCACCACTGATATTATCAACCTACGACCATACACGAAATATGTGTTTGCTGTCGCGTTGAAGAACTATTTCAGTGAACAAGATGGCGACGCAATAATCATAGGTTCAGGTGTTGTATTTCAAACAGATGCTGGTGCACCAACTCCTCCTCGAAATGTACGTGTTGATGTGTTGAATCCTACTTTGTTAAGTGTACGTTGGGAACCGCCAGCGACTTTGAACGGTGATTTTGTTTACTATGAAGTACATTGGCAAACTGAGGGTGCCATTAGTGGTGAGCGACATAAAGGAGAACAAACTGTAACGAATCCTTTACATGCTGCTGTGTTGACAACGAAACTTCAAACAGTTTCACCTAATGAAACCTACTCAATTTGGATACGTGCGTATAGTCAAACAAATGAAACATCAAGTGATAGTAAACACGTGGTGGTTGTCACCTTCCCACAACCGGGACCTATTCGATTAATGGAGAATTCTGCAACTGAATTACGTGTTCAATGGAATATTTCACGATTTGTGGATAAGTTTACAATTCAATACACATTACTTACAAGCACGCTATGGATGGATATTAATGAAACTGAAGTAAATGGTAATCTAGCAGAGATTACCTTAAGGCAGTTGAAACCAAAAACCATATATAAATTCCGTTTGAGTCTTAAGTATCCTCTGGATGTTGAAAATTATATCTGGCCGAAAGATTCACGATTTGTTTTTGAGACACTTGGGGACCGTCCTTCACCACCTGGTATACCACGAATTCAACACGTGAAAAATGATGTTTATAAAGTATGGTGGGAACCTTCAAAAGACAATGGAGCACCTATTATAATGTACAATTTAGAAACACTCAAAACACCTAATTATCGCGCGAAGAGAAATGCCAATCGCACGGCGTGGTTTGCAACAGGACCATTTGTAGACGACGATGAAGAATTCATCTGGGAGTCTATTTATAATGGTACAGATTCCTTCTGGATGTTTAGTGACTTTCAGAATGACTATAGGTATTCTTTTCGGGTGTCTGCAGTAAATTCCTATGGTTGGAGTAATTTTAGTGAGGAAAGTGTACAGTTTGACATGGCTGTCGCTGCGCAAATGGCGAAAAAGAATGATTTTTCTCAAGTAGTGATTGCCATTAGTGTTACGTTTGGTATACTGATATTTTTATTAATAGCTTGTAAGCTATTATGTTGCTGGGTATGTCAAAAGAATAAAAAAGAAGGACTTAAGATTCCTCTGCGGGGACCTGACGTGGAATTAGCCACTTTAAGAGAGTTACCACGAATTCTAAACAACACCAACATATTATACAATCCCAATAAAATACCAGATGATATCTCCATGCTACCACATATAAGCAGAGACAAAATAACACTTGTTAAATTCTTGGGCAGTGGGGCATTTGGTGAGGTATTCCAAGGAAAAGCCAAGTGTATATCTGGTATGGAAGGTGAAACTAAAGTTGCGGTGAAAACACTACGAAAAGGTGCGTCAGATACTGAAAAGTTTGAGTTTCTACAAGAAGCGCAACTGATGAGTCACTTCAAACATGAACATATTTTGGAATTACTTGGTGTGGTTCTTGACAATGACCCACATTATATTATCATGGAACTGATGGAAGGTGGTGATTTACTGACGTATTTACGATCATCAAGAAAACCAGAGGTGATTATAAATATTTTCTCATTAGACTTAGACTAAATTTTGTTTAATTTATTTTTAGTCAAATGTTGGTGGTCTTAATTTAATAGACCTTTTAAAATGTGCGTGGATGTTTCCAAGGGATGTCGTTACCTTGAAGAGATGCACTTTGTCCATAGAGATTTAGCATGCCGTAATTGTTTAGTGTCCTCAACTGACCCTGCATCAAGAATCGTCAAGATTGGTGACTTTGGTCTTGCCCGTGATATCTACAAAAATGATTACTATCGCAAGGAAGGTGAAGGTCTCCTTCCGGTACGATGGATGGCCCCTGAATCATTAGTAGACGGAGTATTCACTTGTCAAAGTGATGTGTGGGCTTTCGGGGTTCTGCTCTGGGAGATAATGACACTGGGTCAGCAGCCATATCCTGCTCGTAATAATTTAGAAGTTCTGCACTATGTGCGGCGTGGAGGTCGTCTGGGACAACCCACAAATTGTCCAGAAATACTACACAATCTCATGCTCAAGTGTTGGGAGACGGAAGCTGAACGAAGACCTACCTTCAAGTATTGCCTAGACACCTTGGACAGACTCCATCTTAAAATGGCAGGGAGTCCAATGACGGGCGCACATATAGGCCACTATGTGAGCACGGTCTCAGCACGTATGTACTTCTTTTTAATACACAATTAATAATCGGCAGCTATTTGGTGCGTGCGCATGTTTAACTTGCTTGACTAACCAATTATTTTGGTACCGCATTTGCAGACTTGGATGGCATCTCAAATCGCGCATATTTTCAAGATGAAAATCATAATCATTCAGGTATGCATGTACAATGACATTATAAGGGGAATGCTTTCATTTACTAACGCTTGTCACCATTATACAGAAGTTTATTAAGTGTATATCGTTGTTATTTTAGCGAATTCGGTAGTGTCTGGCAGTGAAGAGGAAAGCAGCAGGGAGCAGGTACCATTTTTACGCGCCAATTCAACTTTACCAACGGCACAACACACATATTTGGACATTTTACAAGACAGTGATAATGCCATCGAAAATGACGGTTACGAAGTACCGCGTGCCATTCCCTTCGAGCCCGTCCCAGCCGAGTGAGATAAATTTAAACAGGTTGTGCACGATTTAACGATGATCGAACATTTACTTAAACCGATTTTACGAACATGAACACTGAACAAAAACAAACGCCGACTAATTTGTAATATTCCGCTAGAGAAAAACGTATTATGTGCAAAACACAAAGCAGAAGGCAGTTTAAATCAGTTTTATTTAATTTATGGTATTAAATATTGTGTTTTTACAATGTTTTATCTTGACCACTCCAAGAAACCGAATGATTAGTGTTCCGTAGGTTAATCTTTTTTATTTCTGTGGAATAAAATTAAACATTAAGAAATTGTAAATAAATGTATAAATGAACTGGGATAAGTGTATGTGTGGAATGAGAATTAAAATGATTTTATTTATTACAAAAATTTATGTTTGGGACTTTTGGGGATTGTAAATAATTAAAAATGTTTAAAAACCGGTACATTTATTCTGAACACACGTAATAATTATGATTAATCCAATTTCACGTTTATATAATTAGAAAGTTTGCAAGAATTTAAAGTATTTGCACTTTTCGTCGTTTGGTTTACTTACAAAACTAAAATACTACATTGTAACAGTAAAAGTTAAAAAGCTTAATATCATAAGCGTTGTTCCAGACAAGAACAATGAGCAACTTGAGATCGCACCAATTAGTAAGCTACCTACATATCCAGTTGCTCATTATTCCTGTATGATAAACAGCTCGGTTCTGAATTAATGTGATGATGCAAAAATATTAATCTCAGTCGAATGTTGTACAAGTGTTAAATATGCGCTATGTGCTAAAACTTCGATTAAAAGGTTAGGCAGTTTGCTTTTTGTCTGCGCCGTGTGGTTGCTGAAAAACACATGAGAGTAAGACTCAAATGATTAACAAATAAGATGCAACGTATTAAATTAAATGTGCTGTGAGTGTTGTGAATCGCCAGTGTGTCTTACTCTGACATTCGCGTCATTTTCGACGCTCCAAACGTTTGATCGCTTGCACAGAAACAGTTTTTGTTGAATTGTATTAAAAGTTGAATTAAGTGCAAATCTATTTAACGGTTACACGACGTACCTCATCCGATGGTACACTCTGATATCCAAGATCACGCTGTGCGAAAATCCAACGATAAAGTAGCGCAGCGACGACTGCGCCAGCAATGGGACCAACCCAGAACACCTAAAAATCAATACAGACCTTTAAATGTCACTAAAAATTCTATTGTGTTTGACATAATTACATAGTGATCCTTCCAGCCGTTACTGATCATGGCGGATCCTAAACTACGCGCTGGATTCATACTTGAACCGGTTACATCGATAAAAGCGATGTGTCCCACAGCAATGGAGATGCCCACTGCTAGGGAACCAGTGTAATTTGTTTCGGGTCTGTCTGGATCGCAGAATCCAAAGACCACAAACACTAAAATGAAACCCAAGAAGAATTCGTAAGCAATTGCTTGCCAAACGTTTATTAACTCTTCATTAACCACTGTGTTTCCATAGTTTCCTTCGTAGTTTCCTGGTGCCAGCAACTAAAATAAGAATAATGTGAAAATTTGGTTTCTAAAGGTTAATAAAAATAGGTTACCTTTAAAATTGCACTTCCGGCAATGGCGCCTGCACATTGTGCAGCAATATAAATAGCCAGTTTAATAAGTCCAATATTACAGGTTGCAAACATCGCAATTGACACAGCAGGATTAAAATGTCCGCCGCTCACGTGACCTAATGTCTGTAATGATATTGTAAATATTAGTCACGCTATTATAATGCTTTAAAAACTTGATACGCTGTGTTTAAAATGTTGAGCAGTCAGGAAACGCGATTAGTTTCAGATTGAGGTAACAGCCGTTTGCGTAAAAATAAACCGCATAAACTTCAAACGATGATTTTGTTACGGAAAAGAAAACACTTAATCCGTAGTACCCTGTATGTATGCTAGTACGGTTGTTATTCGCTAGAAAAGCAAAGTGGCATTAATCTAACGGTCTCTCGCCTGCACTTCTTTTCGCTTCGAGTTATAAATTCAAGCACTTAACAGTTATTCTCGGTGCCAACACCGATTTGCTTCGACTATAAACACGAATTATGACGATGCATAATTGGTGTAATTCATTAACCGCAATCATACCTGAACGAGGAGGTAAATCATGAAGCCAAATGTAAGGGCTGTTTCCAATGGGGCGAAGGATAACACTACAGTTGCACATCCGAATAAATTGAGGAGTAAATTCCCCACAAACTCGGCGAGAGCTGCACGCCAAATCACATTGCCTTTGTTCTCTTTTATTTCATCAAATCCGATGATTTTACTCGCCATGGTAGAGAATTATTCCTGAAACAAATTGAGACATATGTTAAGGCACTTCCTTTGATTTGTCAAACACGTTCGAGGAAGTCAGCAGAGGTAAATGTTGTAATTTAAACGGAAGCTCACTACGTGCTACACAATGAAGTAGGTATAAAAGGTACTCACACTCCAGGTAGAATAAATTATATTTATTGTAAACGGTTGTAAAATACCTGATTAAATTGTCATAGACATTATTAGAACTTGACGGAATCTTGACATTTTATTCAGAGATTTCTTGATCGCGTAATAAATGAGTCAGGAATCATTATTTACAAGAAAATTCAAGGCCAATAGAAGTTATATTCCATGCCTGAAACTTTAACTTTGTATTCGGAGACATTTGTGCTTCAATTAAGTAACGCAATTAGTAGTTTTAGTTAAATAAATAAGCGCGAATAAGAATGTCAATAAAAATCACGTGTAAATTTGAGTAACTAAACAAAACACTACATATTCTTTAGATTTACATACAGTATTCAAATTTGAGTCTTTTAGAAGATTTGAACAGTTCATGTCATTGAATAATCTGTGCCAATTATAGATATAACAGGTTTGTTTCAAAATGAACACAAGCGGGTGGATTGAAATATATGTTTGCATCTATTTCAGTTTTGGCATGAAAACAACTGTTTTCTTGTTCATAAAACAGATCAGTATAAATACAATAAACACCGAGGACTACATAAAAACGAGTTACGTAATATACAAAAATAAAAGAAAAAAACATTTGTTCAGAAATCATTATTCTATTGATTCATACCAGCAACGTAATAATAACTTTGGATGTAGCCGCAAGCGCACGATGCGTGATGCAGTTTGAAGTCGGTGAAACTTATTTATAATGTTGTTCTAACACACAGCCAGCGTGTTAGTCACAACACAATATAAATCGTCCGCGAGATGCACTCTTGGTACGAAGAAGAAACGTCTTAACGTCCAGCGTCATTACCGCGTAATTACCGTTTCTATCTTTTGCTTTTTCTTATATTCTTATACTGGTACTTGCAGGTACCTTGGCCGTAACCTTCGCCTTCACCTCAACGATTCTTTTTTTCACTTTATTTCTACGCGGAGACGAAGATCAAGGCAGTTTCTTCTTGCATGTCCATCAAGTTCATCACATACGCTAACCAGTAATACATTATTTATCTACATGTGTATAAAACGAAAACAGGAGTTGATTGATGTTCCACGTCCAGCTCTTTGTTTGTCTTCTTGGATTCTTTTTACATTACGCAACTAGGTGTACCACATATGCCAATTGGAAGCATAAACAACAGCTAATTAGATATTTGTTGGTTTGTTTAATTAAATAGAGTACCAGCACGCGTTAAATATGAAGTGCGCGTGCACGAATGTTGCATAAATTTAGCTGGGAAGAGTTTAGCTGCTGAATTGAAAGCCCTATTGTACATTTAATGTTAATGGCGACATATTGGCATACTCACGCGAAATGTCTAGATGTAAAAGGAAGGGGAGTGGAAGGGTTTGACCTAATATCATTCAGCAGAAGGGTTTGCACGCCCAGGACGCAAATTGCAGGAAAGCTTCGATAAAACGCACACAACAGCAGGAAAATTGCTAATTTTAACTCTTTTCTGCGTCTTCGTGACAACAAAATACTAGTTTGTCTGGTCGTGGCAGATGGTGGAGGTAAATTATGCAGTGAATTATCCAACGTAACATATGGACGCGCTTTATGTTATGCGCAATAATGCAAACAAAAACCTAGCTCGGACCATTAATTGCTTTTCTTTATTACATTTATTACTACGTGTGTGCTTTGAGCGTTTCGGCCACACTCTATAGATGCGGCGTTCTGCGTGACGCTACCCACTTTATCAGCGCGCATCTCTGTGCAAGTACCCATGATTCTTCTAGCATGAAATACCACCGCAGGAATAAACAATATGGAGAGTGCTATTGTGATTTTTTTTTGTTTTTGTACTTTCCACGTCGATGGGCAATACTCTTTGTCTCAGGAAAGACACAAATCTTTGTTGTTACTTCGTGCACGAGTTCAACGCGAAAGTTGTGAATAAAATATGTGAAAAACAAAGAAGAATTTAAAAAAAATCTAAATTTAGAAATTAATATTTTTAAACATCTCCGTTGGATTTATTAAATTAGCAAAAATAATAAAACTAAAAATTCAGGTCACTCACCTAACATTTACCGTTTTCAAATATATCTACAGATACAAGATTTTATTGACGATTGAAAATGATTCAGTGGTTAATCAAACGTGAAGCATTGATGTGCTCTGAGCAAAGTAAACTTCAAAAGCAGACTGTGAGAATTGCCACGCTTCTAATCCCTCAGAGTCTTGGACCACAAAAAAACTAACATGAAGCGTCACACACCGTAATTCTAATAATCTTTTTTCTACCTGTGATTAAAATGAAAGTAGACACGACAGGACAAGAACGCTCGGATCGTAACGCTCAGATAATTGTTTATTTTTTGTTTTAGATTGAAATTGCTTTAATTGTATGTCCTTCAACTGACCGCCGAAACAAAACATCAATTCAGCATCTCAAACAAGCGGATTTATTGGTATCAGGTTTGTAATTAAAAATTAAATGTAAAAAAATCAAAAAAATGTTTTTTTGTTTTAGTTCAAGTTCAAGTTCGTATGTAATGGGTTCACAATGGAATTTCTTGTGGTAATTTTCCAATAGGTAATAAAAATGTAAATAACTGGTCGAAACAATAAATTCCAAAGTTTTAATTGGATGTTTGGTTGAATATAATACAAGTACAAAGTGTACTTATTGAAATTTGTTACGCCGTATGGTTTTATAAAGAGTTGTACGATGGAAGCAGGTAACAAAAACGCACATGGCGTAAAAATGCATCCTGCGTATTATAACGACAAATAATTATGAATGATGTAGCGGGTGTTACCATACTTCCTTTTTTCTATTTTTTATTAATTAATAGTTTTCAAATCTCTTTAATTCAACTTTGTTTGATTATTATCATGCACCTGACCCTATTTGATAAAGTAGCAGAATTATTATTTATCTAGTGATGTTAATTCTCTGTAAATATTTAAGCTGCTTAATGAGAACTAGAGCGGTAAGTAATATTTGCAGCGGTTGCGCATCTTTTTATTGTCAGTATTCAAACAAATTGCGTATTGTAAGTAATTTTTATATCAAACTTAAGTACCACTATTGTTTTTTAGTATCTCATGAACTTCGATTGATCCAGATTTGATTCGTTTGACCTTAAAGACAATAAATTCGCGAACTGTGACGAAATAAATCAATACAAAGCGTGATTACGCGTGTGATTAAGTAAACTTCCTTATAAATACTACAATATCATTAATTATTCTTCTAATGCTTACCTTACAAGCAGAGAAGAACCAAAAGCTTCGTCCACACAGTAAACAACCAACAACTAGGCACTAACGTAGCGAATGCAACGCTCCGACGATGAGCTTCGAAGCCTGCTCTCCTCTTGGCGTGGACTCGCAACAGGCAGGCGGCGGCCGAACGGGGAGCAAGGTGAGCGATAGCGAAATACGCTAGTGGGGAGCGGCGATTAAGCTTATAGCTATCTTTTATTAGAGTTAGCATGCTAGATTCGCTTTGGCACTGCCTTCATATACTCGTACATCATTTGCTTTATGCGGCGACAAAAGTTACCATCAACAAAGTAAAACCTCGTTACTGTAAAACAAAGATGGATACTGTTAGCACAGGCGTAAAACTTTAGCGTTGAGTTAACGTTGTGTTTAGAATCAATTAAAAACTCCACGGCCGCGTTTTTCATAATAATTGTTCTAATACACGGAATTGTATGTTTGTGGTATTGCCAAAATCTAAAACTGGTTTAGCAAAGCAAAATTCGTGAATCATTCATTTGTAGTTTTAGTAATTTTTGGAATTTTTTACTTCCAACGCATAATTTGGTCTCACGTGCTTGTTTTTTATCGTATTTCTTCTGAAATTATTAGTAAACGTTTGTAATTTCCACAAAGAGTTTAAAAAACAATAAACCAATCATTGTTTACTCAGAATTTCGGTGCAGGTGATGTGTAAAAAACGGAAATGTGAAAAACTATATCAGGTGATGCCAACTATGACTCCCATTATTACGCGATCAACAAAATTATTCCAGTTATGGTTCTTTGAGCGCGCGCACATCCGCAAGTCGGCTTAAATACACAAAATCATTCATTGTTGCCTACTTCCGACTCAACCAACAACGAAATATTTTGATTTTAAAAATAATTTTTCACTGAAAGTTTAACTTTAATTTTTTAAATGATTGAGACCTACCCACACTTAAGATTTACTACAAAATAATATCTACAAATCTAAATGTTCGAGCATATTAATTTAATGACGTTACCAAAATTCATCCATCATCAACTAAAAATGATTGCGGCTCACGCAAACGATTAGCTCGATTGTTGCGCACGCAGTGGGAAGCAACACACTGCCAATCAACAAAGTCGTTGTTTGAATATACGAGTATCCTGCATTTAAGTTGTCTCAGTCGCAGTTCACAGCCATTTGCGTGTATGCAGGCAAAAGTACAAATAGCGAGCTAGTTTAAGACTTGATGTCATTCGCAAAATGTATGCGCATGTAGGAGGACGAGTTTCATTTGCACGGATGTGCAGCTTTACTAAATAGGTTTAGCCAGAGTGGCGAGATGCAATAAAATGTAATAATGGTAATAAAATACCTCGACAAGGAATTCGCTGTAAATAGCATAGCTAATATGAAGATTAATGATTCACAAATCAAATGAAATTACATTACATTATAATTTGTGGTGTTATACACGCGTATTTTCAGAACCAATTATTTATTAATGATTGTATGGTTAAAATTGTAAAAATTATGCATTGCTGCATTTTTCCGTTTAACAATGGATTAATTACGTATCGTCAATTGTTCATCTCACGGTACTGCACATTAATGTTTGCGGTCAATGTTAATTGTCAAGTTTTTATTGACTCGCTAGATCGATTGAATGATTGTAACGATAGCAACGTAACAAGACGTTTACATTGTTTGATCAATCATTCGGCGTTTTAGCCGAATTCAGTGTTTATTTTCTATATTTTCATAATTTAAAGCTTTAAAATGGTAATATTTATTATAATAATATTATTTGTAATGAATTTTATCGTTTTTTCACTCCAGGCTCCTAAAAAAGGAAAAAAAGGAGGTAAATCTGCCGGTATGTAATTTTGTTATAAAATATGTATATATTTGATATTAATAGATGTTTTTATAGCAATTATTATTGATGGCGTGGACACTTCGTCGATGACCAGAGAGCAATTGGAAATTTTCGCATTGAAGATCAAAGAAGAAAATGAACGCGAACGTGAGGAGCGCAACTTCTTCCAGTTGGAGCGCGACAAACTGCGCACCTTTTGGGAGATTACACGTAACGAGCTCGAGGAAGCAAAAGCGAAACTGAGGTGAGTGCGTTTTAATGCCATTTACTAAACGAGCTAAACGTGTACGAGTATCTTCATCTAACTGTAAAATCGCTGCACTACGCGAATCGTGTGTGTGTGTGTGGATCCGCTATAGGAACAAAGACAGACAAATCGAGGAGTCGTCCGAGAAGAACGAAGAAGAACTCAAGTTCTATAAGCAAAAGGTGAAGCACCTGCAGTATGAACATCAGCTGAACCTCACCGACGCCAAAGCTGAAGCGATGGTCTCGATCAAGTTGGCGCGCGACGACCATGCCGTGCAGGAGCGAGAATTGCTGCGCGACAAGCGCGAGCTGAAGGCGAAAAGTCGGGAGCAGGAAATGGCCAATCAGGATCACATTAAGAACTTGAAATTGGTATGCGCGCCATGTCGACGTCGACCGCAGGATGTCCATAATAAAGTGTCGTTTTTCCATAGCAATTCAGCGAGGAACTCTACAATGCTCGTCAGGAGTTCGAGACGCAGACGAAAGAAATTGAACTTAAATACGAAAAGAAGTTTAATCAGCTGCGTGAAGAACTTGGTGTTCAGCACAAGATGGAGATGACTGAAGTGGAAGAGCGTAAAAATACACAGATCTCTGATTTGATCCAGGGGCATGAGAAATCTTTCAACGAAATGAAAAACTATTATAATGATATTACTCTGAACAACTTGGCGTTGATCAGTAGCCTAAAGGTCTTTGCTTCTTCTCTCTGTACTTATTTTATTAACAAATGTATAACTTTTAGGATCAAATGGAAATTCTAAGAAAACAAAATGAACGAATGGGGAAACAGGTACAGGATTTAGTCAGTGAGAACAAAAAATTGAAAGATCCACTACATCAGGCCCTGGCAGAAGTGGTAGAATTTAAAAGACAACTTGTCAATTATGAAAAAGACAAGATTTCTCTACAGAATACTAAAGCAAAGCTTGCAGCAACCAAAAAAGAACTAAACGAGTTGAGATGGGCAGGAGATGCAATGGAATTACGCTATGAAAGGGTATTTTAAATACAATTCCTAGAATTGTAATAATGTCTTCGCATTTTTTCTTAGATTGAAGCAGAACGTAATGAATTGCAACTTAGATTCACCAAAGCCATATTAGATCTACAGCGTAAAACCGGTACAAAGACAGCATTAATGGCACACCGTATTGAAGTACTGATGGAACATGCTGAACGTAGAGAATGTGTAATCAGCGAGTTGACTGAAAGTCCTGAACAGCGACACACCATCAATTCTAAAATTGAGGTGACAACAAAATTAAATACACAGGAGATAATATTGAATTAATCTAATACTTTTTATAGAATATTTTGGCGAAGAAAAGACAGAAGATAAGTGATTTGCAGTACGAACTGGCAAAGATTGCAAAGGCACATGATGATTTAATATACTCGTATGAATCTAAACTCAAGCAGTATGGAATTCCTGAGGCAGAATTAGGATTTGTTCCTTTAAGACTAGTTCCAGAGGGACAAGGTGCACCATCCAGAGGACCAGCAGGTCTGGTAACCGCAAACAAATAAGCAATTGCATGTAAATGATTTTTATTGCAAATTTTGCAATTTTTTAATAAAAAATATCTTGTGTGACCAACATTAATATAGGCAATCCAATATGCAGTATATACTATTTTAGAATATCAGAATTTGTTTATTAGCCAGGTGGCCATTGTAATTGTCTACCACCAAGAACATGAATATGTAGATGATAAACAGATTGACACCCTTGGACACCATCATTAATCACAACTCTAAATCCATTTGGTAATCTTTCTCTTGCTAGAGCACTGGCTCGATGAAGTAAAGTACCTAAAATCTGCAAGGAAAAGTATTAAAAATCAATTTAAAATTATTTTATTGTAATTTGTGTAGTTACCTTGGAATCATCTACAGATGCTTTACTCAATTGAGTAATTTTTTGCTTTGGAATTACAAGAAAATGAGTTGGTGCTTGTGGTGCAACATCATTGAAAGCCAAACAAGTATCATCTTCATAGATAATATCAGCTTTAAGTTCTCTGTCTATAATCCGTTCAAAAATTGTCTTTTCTACTTTATTGACATTTGAACTTTTTGCTGCATCTTCTGCTTTTTTTACTTCAGATGAAAACTAAAACAAAGAGGTTATCAATATAATACTACATTCACAATGAAGTACTCACAGCTTTCCAGTTCAACATCAGAAGGTTTCGGTGCACAGATTTATTTGGCAGTTGTTTGGCATTTCGGGCAAGTACTCCAAACATTGTTTAAGACTTTTAAATTATTTGAGTGACGTTTAACGGGTATGTATCTAATTTATTTTTATTCTTGGTTATAAAATATGCATCATGTGTTACAAGTTACAATCAGTGGGGATTTAATGAATTCAATCTGTTTTAAAACTTACAATGCTTAAACATTCAGTACAAAGGTAACAGAAACATGGATTATTTTGTAACTTCATCTAATCGATCAATATACTTAAAAATTCCATCAACTATTAATTGTCCTCCTTCTCTTGTGTCAATAAAATTACCATCAAGTTGTAGTGTAAGTCTCAAACGATTATTATGTGTAAAATCAAGAATGTAAGACCAGTAGTTTGTAGATTCATTGTCCAGACAATCATATCTGTTTCTTCACATTCACAGCAAAAAGCTTGTTTTCCTGCATAGCCTGGCATATTGCTAATAATTGCAGTTCCATCATTTGTTTGATTGAAAAGCTGAATTAATTGAAGTGGCAATACTTGAAAAACGGTACCCATTAAATACTCTAAAAACTAGGTAGAAATGATTTATGTATATGTTATTAATGTTGTATTAAAACACAAAACTTACTAAGAGATCCAGTGATTTCATCATGTCTGCGCTCCTTTTTGATATTTCTGTCAGAAGCGCAATTAAGTTATTGTTATTGAATTTTGTAGAATAATCAAGGGGGAAATTTATAATGTGCAGCCGTAAATTTATTAGATAAATTAATTATCGGGCATTTAGGATTCTTTAAATCAACCAGCTCATGAAAATTTCCTCTGGGAATGTAATACGGCACTATTATATTTATATTTTCTGGTTTTGAGATAAATTTTTCTTGAGATTGCAAGGAATTTATATAATCAGTCAGACTTGCACATATTGCTGTGAAGATAATGTCGTTAAACTTCAAATTAGCTTTTCTACGTTTTATCTCCCGAATTTTTTGAAAATACTTTCCATCATCACGGTCTAAGCCATAAACACACATTTTGCGGTTTCCTGTTAACCCATTATGTAGAATATGTTTCCTCTCAGGATTTAATAAACTATTCAATATTAACTTGCGGTCTTTTAAGTCATAAAATGATTTAAGACTGTTAAGCCAGTTTATGAAATTAATATTTGATGTTTTTGTTTTTTGTACCGTAGATTTGAATAAACCGCATCTTCTTTTCACTTCTTGGACTCCATGATCAATAAAATAAGCAGTACATAGTGCCATTATACTTGCGCCATCCCCAAGTATGTGATTAAAACGGAAAATAACAGGAATTTGCTGATTACTGCTCTGGTCATCCGGCCAAGAAATTTGAGTATCTCCTATGTAAATTTCCCATAAGTATTCATCATTTTGTGGTAATGATTTGGAGGCAATGTTATCTAATACCATATTAAAATCATTCGCGTTTGTGTAACCACTGATTGGTTTAATTAATTCGGAAATAGGTATATGAATCCATTTATAAAATTGATAACCAAGTTCGTAGTTAACCGCACAGTTTAACACCTTGTGCACTTCTTTCATTCGCTCACCATTTGTAAGAAAATGATTAAGAATTTGACTTGGAGTTTTGTTTGCTTGTAGAAACATCACAAATTGAATTACAGGACGTTTTGTGCAAGCAATCATTGTTGACATTCCATCTAATAATCCAACATATTGCTCTCCATACTTTAGTTTCAAGTAACAATCAACTAGTCCGTTAAATAAGGCAAAGGTGATTAATAAAATTGCCCAGATGGTCATGGCAAGTATCTCTGTCACAATTTGTACTGGTATCAGCAGTGTTCTTGAAAACTCATTTTTAATACGAGAAAATATTATCAATTCAAGAATAGCATGATTATAAATTGGAAGAACCAACGTATCTGAAAATTAAATGTAATTAACTTATCTACATTAGAAACTAAATATATATGTATTAATCAATACCTTTTTGAAAAAGTTTACGAAGTCCTTTTAACATGGCGCGTTTTTAATTTGAATTTTGGTGGGAAACTGAACAGTAAACACAGAAGTATTATGATTTTATACTAAAATCTAGTCATAATTAGACATTAATATGGAATAAAATTATCTGAGCGTGAAATGATTGTAGACAAATATAATGCTACTATATGTTGGTTTAAATAATGTCTTATGAACTTTGTATCAAAATCATTTGAATTAAATAATTTGATTTTTTACAATTGCGAATATCTCGTAAACTAAAAGGGATAATTAAGATCCGATTGCAGCGTCTTAATCTACGGGCTATTCTCTATACGATAGGGCAGTTAAAACGCAAATCTGTGAGACAAAATTTTTACTCTTAAGAAAAAAATGACCAAGGGGGGGTGCTTGATACTTTTTTTCGACGATTTTCAAAAATCAATATCTCTTAAACCAAAAGAGATAGCTACCAACGAATTGTTGATTATGAAAGATTGGAAAATTCTCTATCAGATAAAAATATAAAATAATTATATTTCCCACAATAAAGGTCGAAAAACGCGACTGAAAGTGCTAAAAAGTGACATTTATCAATTTTTGCCCATTTTATTCAATCGCGCATATCTCGTAAACTAAAAGAGATAATTAAGATCTGATCGCAGCATCTTAATCTACGAACTATTCTCTGTAAGATAGGACCGTTAAAACGCAAATCTGTGAGACAAAATTTTTACTCTTAAGAAAAAAATGACCAAGGGGGGGTGCTTGATACTTTTTTTCGACGATTTTCAAAAATCAATATCTCTTAAACCAAAAGAGATAGCTACCAACGAATTGTTGATTATGAAAGATTGGAAAATTCTCTATCAGATAAAAATATAAAATAATTATATTTCTTACAGTAAAAGGTCGAAAAACGCGACTGAAAGTGCTAAAAAGTGACATTTATCAATTTTTGCCCATTTTATTCAATCGCGCATATCTCGTAAACTAAAAGAGATAATTAAGATCTGATCGCAGCATCTTAATCTACGAACTATTCTCTGTAAGATAGGACCGTTAAAACGCAAATCTGTGAGACAAAATTTTTACTCTTAAGAAAAAAATGACCAAGGGGGGGTGCTTGATACTTTTTTTCGACGATTTTCAAAAATCAATATCTCTTAAACCAAAAGAGATAGCTACCAACGAATTGTTGATTATGAAAGATTGGAAAATTCTCTATCAGATAAAAATATAAAATAATTATATTTCTTACAGTAAAAGGTCGAAAAACGCGACTGAAAGTGCTAAAAAGTGACATTTATCAATTTTTGCCCATTTTATTCAATCGCGCATATCTCGTAAACTAAAAGAGATAATTAAGATCTGATCGCAGCATCTTAATCTACGAACTATTCTCTATAAAATGGCCAAAAATGTTGCTAAAAGTGCTAAAAATTGAAATTTTTAAATTTTGCATATCTGAAACACGCTGTACATTCTGTGTCTAATAATAAAAATAAAATCAAATCACAATTCAACAAGCATAATAAATTAATTATTTATTTGTTTATGTGTAAATTCATAAATATTTTAATGCTACTTGGAGTTTATAATCAATACTTTTCTATGAAGAAAAATATTGTAATAATTTTCACAGTATACATTTCAAAATGTCGCAAAAATGTGTTACTATAAGCCGCTATTTTCGGAACTCACTTTCATTAGTTTTATATCCATCTCGTATACTTGGTTTAATGCCATACAAATTCTACAAATATGCAGGAACTAATAAAATTGAATTTTCCAAAATGTTTGCGCTTTATAGTGTTTTCACAGCACTATTTCTGAGCTTTGCAGTGACTGGTGGCATAATTGCCGACATTTTACATGAAGATACCACACGGCTTGACAATCCACTAGATAAATATGTAGCTGTGGTTGAAATTGGCACATTATTTGTTTGCTTGTGGACAATATGTATTTGTTTTATTGTGGAAAGGTCTTCTGTTCTACTATTAGCACATTATTGTACACAGGTAAATAACTAATTTTTTAATAATAAATACTTTGTTATACCTTTATTTCTTTATAGGTTGATCGCATTTTGAATCTACAAGACGCAGCACAGGCAAGAACTCACACAAAACGTTTCCTGATAATACTTACGGCCGTAACATTGATTCTTCTTATTTATACTCATTACATCTGGATATTTGTAACAGAAAACCCTCTTTATACGGTATTTTTTTCTGCTGGGTATTACTTATCGCATATTGTTGTTCTGGGAGTTATTTCACTTTACTGGGTCATATGCGATGGCATCTCACGTCGTATTTCTGATCTACAAAAAAGAATTAACTTTTAGTGACATCACAACAAAAGACAAAAAGGTTAAACAATTAAATAGCAAACACGCAACGAATATGAATTTTGTTTATCGCAACCTGTTCTCTGGTTTAACATCTTTCAGCAGTGCATATGGACCCATAATATTTGTAATTATAAAATCCCTGTTACAATATATCACAAAATCGTTTTAAAATTGTTTTAGGCTGTAATGATGAACATTTTGATCTCACTAATCGCAAGTTTATACGTGATTATTAATCAAGCAACTCATCAGCAAGTAGCAACACGTCGCATAATGGAGATGATGTGGGGCACTTTTCATTTAAGCCGGTTGATTTTAATTGTTGAACCAGCACACCGTTTGAATGATGGAATGGGTTGTGTACGAGCCCTAATTGCAAAGTTGTTATCGTACAATGTTAATGAAGAAACTAAAACACAAGTTTGCAACTCGTACTGCAATGTTATACTATGTTAATAACATAATTCTAATTTTTAGGTTGAAATATTTACAATGCAAGTATTACTTTCACCGCAAGGTTCTTTCAGTCCATTTGGTATGCTCACTGTTAACAGAAGTGTTATCATAACCGTCGTGGGAACAGTAACAACATACGTTGTGCTTATATTAAACTTTCACAAAGATTAACGAATCGGTTTGTTTGAAAATAATTTATTTACATTTACAATTTGTACGATTCCTGTTATTGATTCTCAGTAAAATGAAACATTAAGAAAGTTTGCAATTTTCATCAATTGACAATTTATAATATTTATAATTTGCCGAGGTGTTTAAAAACTAGTTTCCATGTGTACACAATTCACATTTTAACAAAAAATAGATCTTTGGTGACTAAGTTACAAAGAATGATTATTATCAGCTAAAGCCTGTAAAGCATGTTTGTTAGACGATTCTTTCGAAGACTAGAGAAAGGCAATTATCACATTGAGTTGTGTGTGTGTGTGTGTTTACAAACTTGTAGATACTAAATATTGATACAACTTAAATCACATGAAAACGACAAGCACTAGTAGCAGGTTTTCGTTCTGAGATATTTTAACATACTTAGTGAGTGTGACGCTTGATTCGTTTAAGAAAATACTCGGAAATTTCTAAGAACTAATTTAACAATCAATATGTATATGTATACATTAAAAGTGTTAAAGCATTTGGTTTCAGGGTGCGTATGGAGGTGGAGGTATATTGTACGGCGGTGGTGGAACGGTGTTATTAAACGGCTCCATTTGATCATCATAATCATCAATCAAACATGGATCATCTGCTGCATAAGCTTCCGATGACATTGTATGCATCAGAATCAATGAACAGAAGGTACCAATCAATGCAACGCCACCTATTAACAAAATATTTGTATTTAGGTTATAATTTATATGATTACTAAATAATTATTTTACCTGTTGCTGCAATTAAATAAAACCCATATCCATAAGTGACCATTGTATCAATTGTTGGATATAAGGTTGCAAGAGAATTCTCCAGCAGTATGGCCACATAATAACAAGAACTTATAATTGCCATAATCCATAATACTGTACATGTATTTGCAAGGGCATATTTCCTGATGAAGAAATAGATTGATGTCCTTGGACCAATAATGTCCAGGAAGAACCCACCCAAGGAAAATATGATTGTCATAAAACACCATAATATGATAATCCTCATCATATTCACAATTGTGTTATTAATACACTCATAGCCTACAACAAACATATTATAAACTCTTTCATTTGTTTAGTGTCTTAATTTACCAGAAGGAAAATCATCAGAATATCCAAACCAGAAGAATTCACCAAGAGTCAGATATGGAGTGCATACTCCACCAACAATCTGAAACCATTCCAATTGCACAAGGGACATGCTAATCAATGTGATTGTGATCATGTGAAATGATGCTGAGATCAGGTTGCGCTCTTGATTCTTTGGATGGATCCATAACAAGATTTGGTTTATAATACTGTTGTTGATTCTTGTAGCCATTATAAAAATAATCTGCAAGGGAGAAAATCATTTACAAGTTGAAATAGGTTAGCAGTTTGCCAATACTACATTCATACCTGTTATTATCTGCTACTTGGTTGGATATTATAGCATTCTGAACGTGAATTTGTGCCCCAATTTATGAAATTTACGAGACCAGCTGAAAACGTTGTAATGATTTGCAGATACTGATATTTATGACATTTGTTATGCCTGTTCGTGACGAAAACCTTGAGTTTAGCACTATTCACAACACAGCAGAAACCTTATGAGAAACCTGAATGTGACTGATTTTACATTTGTGTTGTGCCTAGTTGAGTTTTGCGCTGTTTGGAAGCGCCACAAACCAATCCATAACCGCAGTGCGCGTATTTAGCTACAAAGTTTAAATATTTACACTCAAATTTCTCCTTTTTCACCTCGGGGGACGTCTAGACGTTTTATTACATAAGAAAACTGTTTTATTACCTTTGAAATAAGACAAAAATTAGTTTGAAAAGAGACTTTGACACCTAATGCACGACAATTTATTGTATTTAGTGTCAAAACATTTGCGGAAAATGTCCAAATGCAAAAGTAAAGTTCAGAATTTAAATTATTCATATTCTGTGTGGTTTTTTCTTTTATTGCGGTTTATTTTAATATTTATTCCACAAAATGGATATGTATCTTCGGAGGAGTTCAGCGGTGATATTGCCGCATTTGCTGGTAAATTTATTTTGATGTAATATTTATACAAATTGAAGGAGGATATAGACTACATTTTGTATAAATAAACAATGAAAAGATAAAATAAAGAGAGAAAGTGGGCAGAATGAATTAATCATAATTAAAGTTATATGATTCACACCCAGATGGCTCTAGGATGTCCTTATTTGCTTAAAATTCGGCAGAAAAGTTGTTTGTTTGTGTCAGTAAACACGTAAAAATTAAATAAAAACAGCCGTGGCACACAGCCACAAGTAATACTCACGTACCTCCTAAAATGCATTAAATATTCCTTTAAAGGCCATTTATTCGCCTGAAATAATTTATATTGATACTTATCTACAATATATTTTTCAGGAAATCGATTTAACTTGGAACTCAACTTAAAACCAACTCCATTATACAATAAACAAGATCAGAAAAGTTCCATGATCGTTTCTTACATTTTTTTATGGTTGGTCTTATGATTTATTGTGGATATTAGACGTTTACGCATCAAAAATCTTTCAAATCTCACTATTAACTCCAACAATTTTACTAATAACACCCCGAATTGCAATATGTTTACTCTCTTATCTAATCGACTGGTCACTCTACAAGATCGACATAAAATCCGGTGGTAAATATCGCTCAAAGTCATTGATTCTAGCCAGTTCATATTGTATGTTAATTTACACATCTCGAACTCTGGTGAATATTCAAGAAATCATTTTATTTTCATTGCTATTATACTTTGTAATTGGTAGCAAAGTTTACACAAACAATAAACCCACACTGAAGAAATATTTACTAACGCCAAATAAAGAAGTAAAAAAAGATATTCAAGCAACAATTACAATCAACTGATACGCAACCTTACAAAAATATTATACCAATCAGTATAATCCTGGTTTTAGGATGTTTCAATCGTCCAATATTCTTTTTCTATGCACTAACACCAATCATGTTCTGGTTGTGCCGTGATTTAGGCTATAAACAATATCATGGAGTCAGTATTATCTTCATCAAAAGATACCTAATATTATTCTGTGTAACATTGCCGATAGCAATTTTAATGATGATTGTGGAATCAGATATTACATTTGAAGAAGCTTTAAATATCGACGTATTAAATTACAAGATTATTCCAACCATCAATCAAAATATTGGATTGGGCAGTGATCAACTGTTAGTAAACTGGAATTGGAAACTTGTAACTATTCTTGGACATATTATGATATTATTTCCTATATTAGGAGTATACACAATGGTAGAATGGATTAGAATCATCTGTAAATTTAAATCAAAGAAGAAAAATGCATCGAAATTATCTTCAATTCATGTTTTTATGAATTTATCTTTAATATTCTCCACTGGTTTGTTAATATTGTCTGTAAAATTAACCACATATGATTTTTTACCGCTAATTATACCATTTGTTTATATAAATGGTGAAACAATCATAAAATCATCAAGAAAAACAGTTAAAACAACAAATTATGCATTTAAATTGTGGATTTGCATCAATATGTTGCTGGGATTATTTAATGGATTTTTACACGAAGGCGGAGTACTTCCTGCAACAATGTACCTGTCAAAGAGACATCAAGAACATCAAATCTACCCAGTTGATATTCATATTGTGACCAGCCATGTCCCGCCGATACCGCAAATGTTATTTATGCAGTATGAGCACGAACAGGAAATTTTCCTGCACGAGTATGGCAAGAGTCCCATCACGACAGTAATCGAACAAATCGCTACGCTCAGATACGATGCCTTCGTTACTGGCAACGAGTACCAGCTTTATTTCCTGATACCGTCGTATAAGCACAATGAATTGATCTCGGCGCTACAAGATTTCAATCGGGTGGATATCAAATTAGAAACGAGCTTTTATCCGCACGTTACTGTCGAAGCTTTCGATACGTTCAAGCTACAAAATTATCAATTTTCGAATGTGACAGATCTTATATATGCAACCAGTTTGACATTCAATTTAGATTTGTATGCTATTCAGCCTTAAGTGAATTAAAAATGTATATAAAGTTGCATAAAATTAATTAATCACGACGAGCTTCATTTTTGTTTTCTCAAACAGTAATAATTAGAATGGTAATTAAGCCTGCCGAATGGTAATTGTGATAATTACCAGCAAATTTAAATCTGAAGCGGTTCCGTGCTTCAGACAGAAGTGTCCTTGCAAATTCAACGAGCATGGACCAAAAATAAAATGATGAATTTGTTTTTTGGAAAGTTACGCCAAAAACGACAGTTCAATATTTGACACACAAAATATCACTGCCTTATGTTGTCCTTAGCATAGGCGCAATTAATCAGTGACAGAAGGCGAATCGCAAATGTAATTAAGACAAAATTGAAATTGGATTGCGTCTGGATTTATATTTACAGTTCATCTTCACTTGTGAATATCATTAACTATATTATATCAATATAACTAATACTTTAATTACTTTTCGTGCCACGCTGACGATGTTCTAAGTAATTACAAATTATATAATTTAGTTAGAGTATATCGTGACATTTACAAAATTGATTTATTTTCAAGTAATGTACGCGTAGGCAAATTGAATAAGCAAGAATAAACGCATGTCCGTTTGAATGTAATTAGGATCAAGCAAAGTAATACTTTTCAATTAATATAATACGTGAATAGTTAAATTTTTATGCTTGTTGGGAGCGTAGATGTGAATAGTGAAATTAATTATATCAACGCCAAATCAAAAATACGCAGCTTTCATTCGTTCAATGTCAAAAATAATCGTGAAAAAGTTTTGGAGTTTCTAAAACGTCCAAGAGTGACCATAATATTGTGTAATGATTAGTATCATCTTCAAGTTGGATTTTTTGGGTATAAATATAATGCATTCTCCAATGCACATCATTCTTTGAAGTATATTCTAACAAGAAACATTATGGTATGTTTTTAATTTAATAATTTTTTCATTAAAAAATTATTTTTTATTTTTTTAGTTGTTTAGAGGTTTTTTCTTGATTCTGGGCGTTGGAATGGCTGTAGCTGGTCGTTTGGATAATACTTATCTACCTCCAAGTAATGCCGCTACTGCCGGCGGTAATAGCAATATATTGGCAGCTCCCGAAGGCGGTGCACATCCGCCAACAGGTGTTGAAAGCGATAGCGAAAACACCAACAATCCAGCAGCATCCGCAGCAATCCTAAAATACGAAAATGAACAACCCGGTGACGGCAGCTACAAATTCGAGTGAGTAAACGAGCATCAAACACACCGAATATAATATAACATGTGTCACGTCCAGATATGAGACAGAGAATGAGATCCATCATAGTGAGACCGGCGAATTGAAGAACGCTGGCGAGGAGAACGAAGCAATGTCCGTACAAGGTTCATACTCGTACATGGGCCCGGATGGCGTTATGTATACTGTAACGTACATCGCTGACGAAAACGGTTTCCGCGCTACAGGTGATCACATTCCGACCGCGCCGCCGGTGCCAGAAGCTATCCAAAAGGCCCTCGACGAAATGGAAGCGATGAGTGAACACAACGGCCAGAGCCCGGATAAAACTCATAGTGGTGGTAGTGAAAACGGTGGCTCCTATCAGCGCGAGCACAATCAAGATACCCAAGCAGTTGTAATTGAAGCTGAACCAGAATATCAGCCGCCGCAAACTGCCGGCCGCGAATATCTTCCACCCAACCAAGCAAATTTAAATACGCCATCCAACGGATATCGCTATTAGAATTTTTATGTTTATTTCCATTTACACAAACATTTTCTGTTTTTCTGTATTTTCAATATGTATTTATTGTAACATTTAAATTTTGTGGAGAATTAATTTCATCAGAAGAGAAAATTGAGTTGTAACTTTGTCGGACGTGCTTTACCTCTCGATCAAGATAACCTTATCAACTCATTAGCTGTGTTTTCGGCAACTTTTTGAGAAATATCGTAAATTTATTATGCTATATTCCCAGCGGCGACGTGCGCAAGGTAAAACGCGAGGTGAATTCTTCTCTCTGCAATCTTTAATTAATTTTTGACAACCTTAAAAATGCGTCGGCGTGTTTACGGCACGTATTTATATCTCGAGAGGGTATCGCGCCGCCCTCGAGATTTTACTTTGGGAATTATTCGCGAGTAATGCCATTATCACGCGTTCGGCGAAAAAAAAAAACACAACACGACACCTCTGTCGCATTGTTGTCGCGCAAGAGATTGTTTGTCTCGTTAATTCCAAAGCGTCGCTTAGAACAGAATGCCAGAGATGGGGCGACGTTGATTGTGGCAATCGACGAATAGCATAAATAAATAACACACCAACATACACCAACATTCAAGGGAAGTAAAAGATGGGTTGTTTTGCGATGTCAACAATTCTAATGGAAAAAAATGCTTGAGACATACAAAAAGCCTGGATTCACGCAAAATATTATTGAAACAGACGGCGCAATGGAACTGTGCGTGCGGTGCAAAAAAGGATTTCGCCGTTTTGTTGGAGATATACATGTATATATTTCAATGCGCGTTTATTCCTCCGCGCGTGGGGTGCGAGAACGCGCAAAATTGAATAAACAGGTCGGAAGATTGAATTTTATAGAGTAGATTCGAGCAGAGTAGAAGATAAGTAGACGAATACCAGCGCTAAGATATTGTCTCTGCGAGAGCGATTCTTTTGTGTCTTGTGTCGCGCTGGGAATGCGGTGTTTCAAACCGGCGCCGACGGAGCTGAACTAAAGAGAGTTGAAATGTCGGGTAGACGTATTGACGAATTGTATTTTCTATAAAACACTCACTTTGGATGTGTTTTTATTAGTGCACATTTCAACGGTTAATTTTCATTGTGAATTTTGAAAGTTTTTGAAGAGAGAAATTGAAAGAAAATCTTTAAAAACAAATTTTACCAATATATCACATTCATTGCGACGAAAATATTATCTCAGAATAAATTTTCCAACTCGAGGGCAAATATCGCAAGCATGAAATGAAAGCATTATTAAGTTCTTGCTCAAACAGTGGCTGTAACTTCGGCCGGCGGATTTCTGCACAAACCAAATATGAAATTTTTTGTAGTTTTGTTTGTCAAGCATGCTTTGAGGTTAGATCCATACTTACATTTCGAATATACCGAAAGAAAATAACAATGAAAACAGGGAATATCGATTGCATATGAATACTTTGTGTATTTAGGAAAGAAAATAAAGAAAAAAGGAAAATAAATACAAACCAGACGTTTTGTACACGTAAACTAATTGATTTTACAATTCCCGCAAAATTACAAAATTATTCATAGTTTTTTTTGCATTTTACGCTAGATTCATAAATTTTCCTAGCAAAAATCCTACGTATAGGAATATTTGCGATAAGGCGTAATATTATGCAAATTATTTCAATTTATTACCTGGCATGTTCAAATATTTTATGATACAATATCTCCAGGTGGAAAATATGATTAAAAAACTGTTTTTTTTTGTTTTTGTGTGAAAATTGCGATGAAACTAGTTTATATTTTGTAAGAAAACAGATTTGTTTCAATTTACAATGATAGAACCACTGAAATATTCGATTTTTTGTAAGTTTTCCATAAACTATGAAAACATTTGAACAAGTGCAAGCGCATGTTGCAACGCAGCAGCCGCCAAAGATTTTGTTTGTGATAGTGGTTGAAATAAATTGAAAGGCGCGAGTGGTAAGCAAAGCTAGGCAAGAGATTTTGCAATTCAATTTGTTTGCGACAATACACAAGAAAAAATATTGACATTTTTGCTCCCTGCACGAAAATAATAACAAATCAGCGTTGTGTGTGTATGATTTTATTCGTGGAAATTAATTTCCACCAATTGGCGATAATAATAACTGCAATACTAAATATTTTATCTATGAAGTTATATGAGTACACAGCGTAGTGGCACAAATGTTGTTGATGTTCTCGTTCGAATTATGAATACGAAATGTGTACCAGCGCGCTGTATCTGCGCAAATTGCATTTTATATATGACGCGGCGCCGAAATGTGCCGAAAATTATACATTTTAGAGACCCATCCACGAGAATGATGCTCATTCGCATACACATTTCGCACATTCGCGAATTTATATTCATTGGTGGAACAACGAGCACGTGAAATTTGCATTCCGACGTGTATTTATAATTAATTCGTTAATTATTCACACACAACTGAGAGACACATTTATCTGCCACGAATTGAATTAGATGTGTTTACGTGCAAATAAAAATATCGGATTTTATGTGAAATTCAAATAAATTCGTATTAGTTGTTTATTTTTTTACTCAATTATTAGTTTACATGTTGATAATACTTGGTTTTATCACGTTGTTAATGATAATAATAATTTAATACTGGTAACCGTTTTGTTGGTTGAAGCTGGGCTTGTTTGGTGGGATGTATTGCCTGCTAGCGGAGGAAGGAGCAGCATGATGACCATTTCCGTTGTTGTTTTGATATCCGTTGTTATTGTTGTTATTAGACTGGTAACCATTGTTTCCGTTTGATTGGTAACCATTATTACCATTGTTACCATTGTTACCATTTTGGTAACCACCATTAGAGTATCCCTGGTTGTTGGAGGCTTCAGCAGCGGCGTTCAACTCCAAAGATTTCTGGATGGCTTCTGGTACTGGTGGTGGAGTTGGGATGTGATCACCAGTGGCACGGAAACCGTTTTCATCAGCGATGTAAGTAACAGTGTAAGTTACACCATCAGGACCCATATAGGAGTAAGAACCCGATACGGATTGTGCTTCCTGTTCAGTACCTTGGTTTTTCAATTCACCAGCTTCTTGATGTTGGATTTTATTTTCAGTTTCGTATTCGAAGCGGTAACTGCCATCGCCGTTGTTTTCGTTGTCGAATTTCAAGATAGCAGCGCCTGCATCAGGACCAGCTTGTTGCTGTTGTCCACCATTGTTGTATCCTTGTTGGCTGTTACCGACTGGAGCTCCGTAGTTTGTTGACGGGGCTTGGAAACGTCCGGATTGACCGGAGGGTGCGCCATATTTATCGGACGGCGCGTTCAGAAAGTTGCCATTGCCGCCTGCGGTTTGGGCTGAACTTGGGGGCAAGTAAGTGTTATCCAAACGGTCAGCTGCTACAGCTACCACCACAAGAGAGATGATAAACTGAGAAAAAAAATAAAAATAAAAAATAATTATTTTGATTGTTTAATTAAATTTCTTACCAATTTCATGTTTTGATGTTTTGTAGTTGTTGTAACTATTGAGTTGGAAGATGTTATGATTAAACATACTCCCGCGCCTCGCTTTTATACGATTCTGAATGCGAAGAAGATTCAAATGATACCATGAGTGAAGAGGTGAAGAGGTAAGGAAGATGATACACATTTCTGACGCCCCGCTTCACATGCAAACTTGCAACGCGTAGTAAAAGAAGAAGAAGAAGAAGATTCAAGGTAAACAAGCTTGAATTACCTCTAAAACGATTTTGGAGGTGGGTATATGGTAGCTTATGGGCTGATTGCACTACAGATCGCATTCAGATCAAACAAAACCGAAAGCGACGCAGTCAAAGAAAGATGAAAGCAATGGTTACACTAAACTGCGAGTACTCGAGTCGTTTTGCGGGCGAACAAAACAAATCGCAAACATAACACTTCACAATTCAAACATTCTTATTATACGTTTATCGGTTATGTAACTTATGAAGATTATACACGCGCGGTGTATTTTTACAATTTCCACAAAAATATACGTTTTATCGGTAAATAACGCACTTAATTCGGATAGGTAGAATGGTGCTGAATTATTCTGATTACATCTTCATCAATTATGAACATGACAGCAGCTGAAACGTGTGCGGGAATTGACTTGACTCTTTGCTTGTGCCTCGTTGCGGAAAGTAGTAATTTTGTTACACGCGCGCATTTCATTAGCAGCCAACGATAATTTATCACGATTAAATCGAGTGTTCTACGAATCAAGAAAATTATTTCCCTGAAACGTGTGAGATTAATCAAGGGGCATTATAAATTGTTCTAATTTCACAGTTTTTGATCGTTTATCAATTGTTTTTGATAAATTGCGGGTGTGTATGCACTAATGCGTTTTAAATTGTTGGAATCAAGTTGTAATCTTTCACCTAAAGTTTTTCAGGTGCCAAAGTTTCGAGCATAAGTCATTCCAAGTCAGAATTACAATTTTATCTGAAAAAGTAACAAAAATGTTGAAAAAATGTTTTTATTCTTATCTTCTTGTTGTTTGCGAATATTTTTGTTGAATTTTAAACACGGACGTCCAAATCCGTGAGTTTAGTACTTTAGTCACGGGCTTTAGTCACGAGGTGGAGCTTGCGACTGGGCATTTGCCTACGATGCATCACGTGGCTAAACGTCGTTAAATACTCGATTAATTAAGCGCTTGCTAAGTTCGCTCTTAATCAATCTTGTGACAAAAACTACTTTTTAGCTACTTGATACTTTGATACTTGATTGTTTGAGAATATTTTTGAGGTTATATTACACTTTTTCTGATCCCAGTGAATAAAATATAATCAAAAACTAAACAAATACACATATAATATTAATAAATAGATAAATCCTCATTGATACGCATGAATTCATTAAAAACACCAAAAGAAATCGAAAATATTCATCAGTTTTAAATTGAAATTTAATGAGATACACAAACAATTTAAATGCAGATAACATTTGCAATTAAATTAAAACCTAACAACTCAAATTACACGCTAAATCAAGATAGGTATTATTTAATTATACTTTTTATTGGGCCATTTGTTAATTAATTACAATAATATTTATTAACTCAAGTGCTACTTTCACCCAGACTTAACTGTGTTATTATTCATAATCAGCTGAGCGGTTTGAACTGCGCGCATCTTCACTTCACACACATTGCATGTTAAGCGCACATTAGTTGGTCAATCATGTAATCACCAACGTAATACAACTCATCACACGAAGAATCCAAACCAGTAAACCACTAAACCAGTAATGGTAATAGTAATAGTAACAGTATAGCACGTGTTATATCTCCAAATACTCTCGAAATATGAGAATTTTTAAATTGATCTGGCTGCTTACCAAATTAATTTATGTGTTTATTTAGTTGATAAAAGTAATTATAGTTTAATTTAACATAACTGACCTTTCTATGCGCATGATTCGCATTATGTAGGTATATTTAGTTTATGTATATGTAGAATATCGATAGGTGTAATGTGTTGGAATTAAGTTGTAACGAAAACCTACTGAATTATTTATAAATGTTTAGTCTAGCATTTAACACGATTAGAAACGCCCACGGTACAATTTATTGAATTGATTATTTAAATTAGTTGATAAATGTGTTTTTGCTTCGCTTATAAATTTAATATGTTATTGGTTTTCTTTATAATGGCGTTGAAATATGTGTGAAATGGAAGCAAATAAAGTTACTTTTAGTTTGACTGTCAAGAGTGGGTGCTTGTGAACTCCATTGCAATAAAGAAAACTTTCCAGACTTTTCTAGATCAAAGGAATTAATTTTTCAGGTCCAAAATAAAAAAAAAACTTTAGTCGGCGTATTTGTATCTTAGAATTTTATAGTTTTTTTTCGACTTTTAGCTTTAAAATGCCTGTTTTTCGTAGTTTTGAGACACAAAAGTGGTATTGTACACACAAACGGCTAAAACCGTGACTAAAGTACTTTAGTCACGGGTTTTAGTCACGGGGTGGACCTTGCGCCTGCGCAACATACTATTCTACATTATATTAGCAAAAATTAATATTTTAAAATGTATTTAATTGAAAACAATAATTTTGTTAGAAAGTAAAAGAAAATACAAGTTGAATAATGTGTAATTTTAGAGGAAAACTTTTCAAATTTATATTTACGCATAGTATAACCTCTAACCTCTAACAAAGTTTATAGGTTATGTCTTCTTGAAACATGCAACCAGAGTACTGCTCCTTTTGGGCAATACGGCGAAAATTTTTGTTCATAATGAGACCTCCATATTTATAACAGGACGTATGCATATGCATCAGATGCAAACAGTGTGCATCTGCTGCGGTGCAAAGTTCACCAATTTCATGCGAATAGAGCATGCAACTTAACCTATAACTTACCACTTACAACATACAACTTTGTTTTTGTTGTTTTCAAGCCATTTTAAAACAAATATGTTGTGATAATGATAATATTTTGCAATTCTAAAACACTTACATAGTAATTATTTATTTAATAACAACAAATAATACCATTATAACAAAGTAATAAAGACATTATGTGCCTTAAATGAAGTTATATTCACATTAAGTGCTACGTATTCTAAAGTCATTAAAACTCGTAACTTTAGCAATGCTTTATCAGTAGTTTTAGAAAGTTTTGCGTAATCTTCAAATTGAACTATATTGTATTCACTTACAATCAGTTCTTTCATTAATTTTAATCAAACTTCACTTAAGAGTAGAAATATTGAGAATATTGAATTATTGTAGTTGTCATAAACGATTTGATTACTCGATCGTAAAATATCTATAAATATTTGAGACCTTGTCGTACGCGTTCGTGTTTCTTTCTAAATTAGATCTTCACCGCGTATATCAGAAATCAAGGATGTTCCACTTATTATTTTAAAGAAATTAATTTATGCTCGCACGAACGTCAATGAAATTTTATTCTTCATTAGAATAATGATCGAATTCCGTAAGGTAATGGCTTTATTTATCGCATCTTAATGTCAAATGTGACTTCATTGAATCGACGATGAAACAAATGACCTATAACTTGAGTAATTAGATGATTTCATATTATGATTTCGTCCTTTTCGTACTTCATAAATTCTTAGGTTGTCATCGACGTATCCGAGTGATCTATTACATCAAATTGATTATTTATTAACGCCAGAAGGCTGTTTGAAATCGTCTAAATATAAAATTAAGTTTTTTTTTACTTTAAACTGTTTTTCTACGGTTTTGAGGCACAAAAAGTGATATTTTATACACGGACAGCCAAGGTCGTGACTAAAGTACTTTTGTCACGGGTTTTAGTCACGGGGTGGATATTAAACGCTTACAAAACTCTCTCTTAATCAATTTCATGACAAAAACTTCATTTTTTAGTGAATAAACAGTTTTGCAGGTTATGCAAATGTATGCAACCAGTTTTACTTGCTCTATGTATCAAAATAGGCTATAGTTTGGTTTAAAACGGATAGTAAACGTAAAATAAATGCATTTCCAATATTTTAAATACTGGAATTATGTACTTTTGTGAATTATTAAACTTTTACTATCGATATAACTTCCGCGTGTCCATATGCAGCGTTGCGCATTTACCGACTGATTTTATTACTCGAAAAGCCGGATGTCGTACTAAAAGCTGTTCCCAAACGAGCGCGTTATGAACATATAGCCTGTAACGCAGAAAACAAAGCATTTTTACACCCGTTTGCATCCATTTAATGTTTTATCAACGCCACAATATTCCGGCGTGCTTTCGCAACAATGTAAACCGTAAGGATTATATGCACACAATTATGCAGCGCTCGAAAATATTCAATTAATTATTCATTTATGTATACAACGACTACAACCTTCCAACGCTCCGTTATGATTCAATTATAAAACTATGAAAAACTTTGCGCTGAAAAGTTGCCGGATTAGCCGTAAGCTAGCCCGAGGTTCGTCTTTAGTTGCCGAGTTTTATGGCCGAGCTTGTGTCTTGTGGCTTTTCACGTCTGCGGACAAAGTGGAACAAAAGTGGTCGAAAATGGTGCGGCAACAAAACCGAAACGAGAAAAAATGTGAGACTGCAAAAAATGCAATAAGATGCTCTCTGGATGAGAAAAAAGCACACGCAAGCTCGCACGCGAAAGTCTTAAGATGGCGGAGAATCGTGCGGAAAGCCGGAAGCTTTTGTGTAAAAATACCACGGCGCATAAATTTACATATTTGTTTGCAATTTATAACTGCGTCAGGCACCTTCCTTCAAAACTACGAGGTGCTTATAATTTCCCAGTGGATTAAATTAGAAATTATGTTGCTTTGTCTTTTTTTTTCTTCTTCTGGGAGAGCGTTCAAGATGCGTACCCATCATGCATCTTGATAACATGTTTAACTTGACGCAATTTATGCCATCAACAAATCACTCCCGGAAGATTATTTACAGGTTAACATCAGCGGTAATAATTTGTAGGTTATAACTACAACAACGCCATCTATTGCAATCGTAGGGAACTAAAACTATTAAAAATAAATTAAAATCAAAATTTAATTTCAACGCCAATTACTGTCAAATCAATGTGATGAAACGAT